CCACCTCTCTCCCTCCTCCCCTCCTTCTCCTCCTCCTCCTCCATCTCCTTGGCTCCTCCTTCTCGATGCTCCTTTCTCCTTTCCTCATCTTGGCTCTGCGCTTTTCCACATCTTCTTCCTCTATTCTCCTCTCCACCGCCTCCACCTCCTCCTCCCACGATTCTCCTTCTCCCACCTCCTCCACGTCCTTTTCCCCCCTCCTTACTCCTCCTCCTCCTCCCCTTCCTCCTTCCACTTCCCATCCTCCCCCTTCGCCTCCTCCTCCTCCTCGTCTCTTCCTCCTCTCCTCTCCTCCTCCTCCTCCTCCTCCTCCTCCTCCCTCCTCCTCCTCCTCCTCCTCCTCCTCCCTTCCTCCACCTTGTCCTACCTTCTCCTCCTCCTCCGCTCCCTCCTTCTCACTCACTTCTCACTCTTACTCCTACCCTTTCCTCCTCCTCCATTCCTCCTGCTCCTCCTCCTCTTCCTCCTCCTCCTCCTCCTCCTCCTCCTCCTCCTCCTCCTCCTCCTCCTCCTCCTCCTCCTCCTCCTGCTCCACCTGCTCCTCCTCCTCCTCCTCCTCCTCCTCCTCCTCCTCCTCCTCCTCCTCCTCCTCCTCCTCCTCCTCCTCCTCCTCACCCCTTCTCGAGCGAGGATTGTGCAGCCCCATCGGGGTTCCGGGGGAGTTTTGCAAGTCTTCACTTTTTTCTTTATATCACCTTCGCTCTGTCAATCTCGCTCTCTCTCTCTCTCTCTCTCTCTACATATCTCTCTGTCTCTCTCTCTCTCTCTCTCTCGCTCGCTATACATATATATGTTTATATATGTATGTGTGTGTGTGTGTCCCTGTCTCTTGCTCTCCCTCTCTGTTTTCCCAGTTGGCTGGCATGGAATGCGTGCCTGGGACGTGCAAGCCTGGGACGTGCATGCCTGGCAGGGCCTTACAGAGCCTAGCATGGCTTAACAGTGCTTCGGTGGGGCGAGCAGGGCTGTGCGAGCCCTATCAAGGGCTAGCAGGCCTTAACAGGGCTTAGCACTACTTATCAGAGCTGGCTCAAGAGACTTACGCCATTCCGCCGGCCCCCAGAACACGGATGAAGTCCCCGGGTGAAGCCTTTCGGGGCCTCTTGGAGATCCCCTGGGGGCCTTTATTGGGCTTTTTCGGGGGCCTCTCCGGGCCTCTTGGGAGTTTCTTGGGCGCCTGCTGGCGGTCTCGGGGGTCCTCTTGTGGCGGAGGGCTAGGAATGTCAGTTCGGGTTGCCCCTCTTGGCCCCTCTTGGGGCCCTGCTGGGGCTCTCCTGGGCCATCTTGGGCGCCGCCTGGGCCGCCTCGGCAAGGCAGCAGGCGGTGGCGTGCGCCGTTGCGCCCAGCAGGCCTTCGCAGAGGGCTATGGTGCCGACGGACGCTATTCGAAGGATGGGCTCACCACCTGGGGGTGCCCATCCGCGCCCCCCCATCGTCGCTCCTCGTCACCACCGCTGGGCCCTCGTCGCCACGCGTGAGACATGGCACGGGAAAGAGAGAGCGCTGGACGGCTCAGGCTTGAACAAGTCGCCCTGGACAGGCTTGAGGGCTTACAGTCGGGGCCCTGAAGAAGGAACCCTTTTCGTTTGGGAGGGGCTCGGTGTTCCTTCATTGTTTCACAGCTTGCCTTAGGTTTTGCTTAGGGTTTCGATGGGAAATCGAACTTTAACTGATGGGAAAAAGGGGCCCCGTTTCTTATTTAGGGTTCCTTAGGTCAACGCCCCGACTGTATCGCCGCTGCTCTCCGTGATCCGAACATCTGGAGGCTTGCTTTGCAGAATCTTGTAGAACCCTTTTCGTCGCCTCCACCTCCTTCCGCCTCCCTGCTCCTCCTTGTCCTCCTGTCGCCCTCCCTTCATCCCTTCGCCCATCCCTGTCGCCGCCCTCCTCCCAAACCGCGAGAGGGAGGGGGGCGCAGGGGGGGGAGGACCTGAGGCCCGACGATTCGGAAATCAGTGCCCTTCATGACCGGATCCCCAGACCAAATCAAATCTTCTTGCGGCTTCGAGCCGGATCGATCTGCGAGGGCCCTGGAGCCCGAAATTGGGCGGAATCGCCCGTTGCGAGAAGGATGCACCGCCAGGATTTCACTGGGGAGGAAGAGGGGGAGGAGGAGGGGGAGGAGGAGGAGGAGGAGGAGGAGGAGGAGGAGAAGGCGGAGGAGGAGGAGGAGGAGGAGGAGAAGGAGGAGATAACTTGTTGAAAGCCACCGGCCCTCCATTCTTGAAGCCGCTGCGAACGTTTAATATAACTGTGCGCTGCGGTTGGGCGCGAGCGAAGTTTTGCTAACCATCCGCCCTCCATCCGTGAAGTTGCCGCAAACGTGTATGACGAATGTGCGCAGCGCTGGGGCGAAGACCACACAATGAAACATAGCCGCCCTCCACCCATGAAGCTGCTGCAAACATTTCGCGGGAATGCGCGCGGTAAAGAGGCGAGAGCCACATTTTGAAAGCCACCCGCTCTCCAGAAGCTGCTGCAGACTAGAAGCTTCAGGATCACAGATGGCGAGGAAGGCTCAGGAGCAAAGCCTGGCCTGCCCAACCAACACGTCTAGGGGTGCGACAAGGAGGACCTGTTCAGAAGGAAAGGGGAGAGAGGAGAGAGAAGAAAGGGAGGAGAGAGGAGAGAGGGAGGAGGGGGAGGAGGAAGAGATAGAGGAGGACGGAGGGACAGGGGTGCAAAGGAGGAGGGGGAGGAGGAGGAGGAGGAGGAGGAGGAGGCCTTTCCCTCTCTTTGCCCCCCCCCCAAGGTTGCTAACACCCTCTGGGCGGCGGCGACGCTGAGCGCACAGAGCCCCGAGCTGTGGCGCTGCTTCGTGACCGAGGCCAGGGCGAAGCGCAAGGGCGTCACCTACCAGGGGACGTCCCGGCCTGGGACAAAAAGGCCCAGACCCCTTCGCGTCGTGAAGAACACGCCACGCTCGGGTTGGTTGAGCTTCGCCCTCTGGGGCTGTCGGCGGGCCCCGAGGCCGTCAAAAACAAGTCTCAGGACCAGAGGCGTGAGAAGGAGGAGGGGCCACCAGAGAACTGCAGGAGGGTTCCTCCTCCTCCTGCCCCTCTGCTGGGCCTTCCGGGTGCCCCCTCGGAAGATCGGGCCTGGCCGACATGCAGGCAAGAGAGGACTCTCTCTCGCTCTCTCGCTCGCTCGCTCTCTCTCTCTGCCTCTCTCTCCCTCTGAGCTCGCCGGACGTGGGCATCCCTTGGAGGACTTCTCCCCCTCCTCCTCCTCCTCCTCCTCCTCCTTCTCCTCCTCCTCCTCCTCCTCCTCCTCCTCCTCCTCCTCCTCCTCGATCGAGAAAGATTCACGCCATGAGTATGCTCTCGTTGCTCCGCGCGGATTTTTCGGAGGCGGCGCCTGCGGCGCCGCCCCTGGTCCCGCTCTGCGCGCCAAGGGGGGGCCTAGCGCCGACCCAAGGAATAATTGCGCGGATCTCCGACAGTTTTGTACGCTCGTGCCCTGCTTCGTCCTACGCTGTCGGGGGTTGCGAAAAGGCGCCCCTGGCCCAGGGGGCCTGCAGCTTGTCGGTCAATGTGGGAGGCCCTGGGACCCTCCGTAGGCCCCGTGAGAGGCGTTCTGGCGGCCGTGGGGGCAGACTGCGCCCGGTGCCCTCGTCGCTTCCAGCGCCGCCGCGAGGGATCCGCGCGGACCTCCGGAAACTGATACAGCGGGGGCGCGCCTCAAGAAGCCATCTGCTTCTCCGCAGGGTGCCACCCACCAAACCACCCCAACCCAACCCGAAGGCTCAAACTTACCCTCGATTTCCAGTGGGGGGGGATCGGGAAACCTCGAACAAACACACGTGGAACCCTCACCCCCCCCAACCCGAAATTCGGGTCTTCGGGTTGGGTTGGGGGTGGTCCTGGTAGGTCGTCAGCAGGGCGCCTTGGGTCTCCTCGCTCTCCGCGCGCCGCGTGTGCTGGCCTCCCGCGGCCGCCCGGGAAGCTGCTGCGTTTTCAGGGGTGCTCTGTTTTCAGGAGGAGGAGGAGGAGGAGGAGGAGGAGGAGGAGGAGGAGGAGGGGGAGGAGGAGGAGGAGAGGGAGGGCTGTGAGCCTCGCGCGCGAGCTTTCAGGGCTGGGCTGTTGTGTCGCGCGGGCCTCGCGCGACCGCGCCCTGCAGGGCACGCTCCCGCCAGGTCTGCCTCCCCATCCCCGTCCTCGGCGCGGAGCGGGGTGGAGGCCCGCGCGGAGCGGAGCGGAGGGGGGCCCTTCCCACCCTGCGCCGGTCTTGATCGGAGCGATCGCCGCGGGCGTGTGCTGGAGAGGGAGGGGACTGGTCATGATGTTTCACACGCGCGGGTTCGTTTTGCGACGTCGGATCTCAGTGTCCGGCTCGGGAGGGACGGATGGAGGGAGGAGGGCGGGAGAAAAAGGAGGAGCAGGGAGGCGAGAGGAGGAGGAGGAGAACGAGAAGTCGGATATGGGATCGACTACACGATGGTCTACGAGCGAAAAGGTTGATTGTCCGTAAATCTGCAGACATTCCACGTACCTGTCGCAGATCCGACGAAGCCTTCCATCTTGGGGTAAGTCAGTGTTGTCGCCGATCCCCTACTCCAAGGAGGAGGAGCCTTCTTGGGATGGGAAGCATGGTGAGACAACCCGCTCGTTGTGGAGCCGACGGGCGGGTCGACGAAGGAACGGACAAACGACATGAGGGGGGGCCGGAAAGGGAGGGCGGACCGAGGGACCGAACGAGCGAGGAAGGACTCGTTGGCAGGAGGAGCCTCCTCCTCCTCCTCCTCCTCCCCTCCTCCTCCTCCTCCTCCACCTCCCTCCTCATTTTCCTCCTCCTTTTCCTCCTCCTCATGTTCCTCCTCTTCCTCCTTTTCCTCCTCCTCCTCCTCTTCCTCCTTCTACTCCTCCTCCTCCTCCTTTTCCTCTTCCTTTTCCTCCTCCTCCTCTTCCTCCTCTGGGCCTTCGGGGTGGAAGGGGGGGCGGGGGGCCACCTTGCCACCGTGCCAGGCGCTCGCCCTTCGCGATGCTGGCTTGGGGCCGCGCTCCCCCTGAGAGCGGTCCGGGGGGGGGAGCCGGCGCTCCGAATGTCTCCCTCATCAGGGCCCTCTAACCTGGCATCGCTCGGACGTGTGCGTTTTTTCCTCGGCGAGGACCATCGAGGAGCATCCTTGACCATTTGGCGAAACAGCCACGCACGAAACCGAAAAAAACACAGGAAATGGACGTCTGAGCGATGGCCAGCTAAACACTTGATGGAACTTCGAGGTTGGAACTTCGAGGTCGAAGGTCCCATCAGAACGTGGCGGGGCTTCTCAGAAGAGGGCCTTCGGAGAAGTGTCCTGCGTCTTCGGGGAAGGCCGAGGACACGTCGCAGGAGGCCTTGACCCAGAAGGTCGGAGGACTGTCTGGGCCTTCTGAGAAGGCCTTCTCCTTCTCACCGGGGAAATCCAGGAGGAGAGCCTTCTGGGCATCCTCCTCCTCCTCCTCCCCCTCCTCCTCCTCCTCCTCCTCCTCCTCCTCCTCCTCCTCCTCCTCCTCCTCCTCCTCCTCCTCCTCCTCCCCTCCTCCTCCTCCTCCTCCTCCTCCTCCTCCTCCTCCTCCTCCTCCTCCTCCTCCTCCTCCTCCTCCTTCGCCCACGGCCCGGGGAACCGTGGAGGCGTCGCCGACGGGCGTCGGGGCGCGGGAGCGCAGCGAGAGGCCGCGCCTCGGGGCTCTCTGGGCCAGCGCACGCAAGGAGCCGCGCCGACTGGCAGGGGCACTGCCATGGCTGGCGGGCTCTGGGCGCGACCGCGCAAAGTGCTACTGCGCGCCAGCGCTGGCGAGCCCTGCAAGGCGCGCTTGGGGGGGAGAGGCAGCCAAAAGAGCGCATGCCTGCCGCTGCTGCGCGGATCTGGCCGTCACAGTGTATTTAGGTCGAAGAACCCCAACCCCGGGTTTCCGGGGCAGGCAGCCCGAGACCCCAACATTCCGTGGACGTGGACATACACCTTGCACGCGCAGGGGAGGGGGAGCGGCGAGGGTCGGTGGGCCGGGCGGTGTGCTGATTACACCACGTGTGTGGGGATTCGGGGACTCACCGCACGGTTGAGGGGCTCGGGTCGTTCTCCGAGGACGTCTTGGGCGGTTGTGGCCCCCAGGGTCCCAAAACGTGCGGTGACAGACGGTGCGCAAGGGCCCTTCGGGATTGCGAGGTCACCGCGCCGACTGTCACCACCCGGGGAGGAGGGGCGAGGGCGTCGCTGCCTCGCGCTTCGGGGGACGTCGACTGACCACCCCACAGATCACGGCTGGTTGTTTTGTTTTCCCAGGCGTGCCGTAGTGCATGTTACGGTGAGGGCGCTGGATAAGGAACCACTGGAAAAGAAGTCCAGGGTCTGCAAGCCGGTGGAACTCCATGCGGGGATCGGCCCTGGACATCACCACAGTCATCCGATAAGGCATCCTCCAGGGTCTGAAGCCTCATGGGAACGTTCCTTAACCGACCCCCCCACCGTTACCCCCTCCCCCCACACAGCGGCAGCGCCTGGAAGCGGCCCGCAGGCATGCGCTGTTGTGCTCCCCGACGCATCGTGCGCGCAGAGCCCGGCCAGGAGCGGGGGATGTGGTCAGCGTGCGCGTCTGCCGCGAGAGGGCCGGAGCCTTACTGCGGGCCCCCTGGCGCCGCGGGGGGGGCCTCCGGCAGGCCCGGTGCCTCCTCCCGCCCCGGAGCCTCCGGAGGGCAGAGCGACTGCACAGGCAGACGCTTGCCGAGCTCCGCGCGGCCTGCTTGGACCTCCTCCTCCTCCTCCTCCTCCTCCTCCTCCTCCTCCTCCTCCTCCTCCTCCTCCTCCTCCTCCTCCTCCTCCTCCTCCTCCCCCTCCTCTCCTCCTCCTCCTGCTCCTCCCTCCTCCTCTTCCTCCTGATCCTCCCTCCTCCTCCTCCTCCTCCTCTCCTCCCCCTCCTCCTCCTCTCTCTTCCTCCTCCTCCTCCTCCTCCTCCTCCTCCTCCTCCTCCTCCTCCTCCTCCTCCTCCTCCTGGAGGCGCGCCGAGCCAGCCCGGCGGCGCCTCCAGGGCCGCCCCTGGCGCGCTCCACGCGCCACGGAGGCGAGTCCAGCGCAGGATCCGAGGAAGCCGCGGGGACCTTCCGAGGTGGTGTCTGTTCGTGCCGCCTCTTGCTCCCCTCCCATCCCCATGGCTGGCATCACCTCATCTCGGGGCCGACCTCCAGGGTTTCCTCAGCCTCTGAGGGCGCATCCCTGCGATTGTCATCTCATCGCCCTGGGTCTGTCAATCTCATATTGGCATAAAAATATGAACCTGAGGCTGGTTAGTTTGGGGCCGGCTGCCGCGGCGTTTGAGACCCCAGCCGCCCAGGATCGCCAATACGCTGTGGGCGATGGCCACCGTCAGGGTCCAGCAGCCCCTCGCGGTGCGGGACCTCTGCGCGGAGCGCCCCGGGGGCAGGAGAAGACCGAGCCAGGAAGCCGGGTGCACAGGACGTGGCTAGCCATGGCGAGAGCCAGGATAGGCATGAGGGCACCCGAGGACAGGGCCTGGCCTTCGAGGCATTCAAGGAGTTGGCGTCTCTGCCTCGGCGAAGGGGTCGGCGGAAGCCCGCGAAAGCAAAACGAGGCCGCCTCCGCGGGCGGAAGCCGGCAGAAGGCCAGCGGGCGCCGGCAGAAGTAAAACAAAACATGGCGCTCTTAAGAGATGGCAGCATTAGGGGATGCACACCTCCTCCTCCTCCTCCTCCTCCTCGCTCCTCCTCCTCCTCCTCCTCCTCCTCCTCCTCCTCCTCCTCCTCCTCCTCCTCCCTCCCCCCTCCCCCCCTCCTCCTCCTCCTCCTCCTCCTCCTCCTCCTCCTCCTCCTCCTCCTATCCTCCTCCTCCTATCCTCTCTATCCTCCTATCCTTCCTCCTCCTCCTCCTCCTCCTCCTCCTCCTCCTCCTCCTCCTCCTATCCTCCTCCTATCCTCCTCCTATCCTCCTCCTCCTCCTCCTCCTCCTCTCCTCCCTCCTCCTCCTCCTCCTCCTCCTCCCCCCCTCCTCCTCCTCCTCCTCCTCCTCCGCCTCCTCCTCCTCCTCCTCCTCTCCTCCTCCTCTCCTCCTCCTCCTCCTCCTCCTCCTCCTCCTCCTCCTCCTCTCCTCTCCTCCTCCTCCCCCTCCTGCTCCTCCTCCTCCTCCTCCTCCTCCTCCTCCTCCTCCTCCTCCTCCTCCTCCTGCTGCTTCCTGCATTCTGGGGCAGTGGGGCGCGCCGGCGAGGGCCTCGCCCTCGAGACGGCGGGCGCCGAGTCGGCGGCTCTCGCCCGGGCGGAGGCCAGGCCAGCGCCAGGCCAGCGGAGGCGGCGCGGGGGCGGAGGTAAAACACGACGCGAAGATCGAGACAAAATCGGATCGGGATAACTCGGAATCTCTGAGAATCGGCGGGTGTGGAGGATGTATTGGGCGCCGCGGCCGCTCTGAGAGCGTTCCAGAACGCTCTGAGAGCGCTCTGGAACGCTCCGGAGCGATTCATCCCGATCCTAGCCCTGTTTTAGCGGAGGTCGGGCGGCGGAGATTCTCAAGCGGTGGCGAAGCGTCTTGGCTCGCCTATAGCCCTACCAGACAACTTGGCATCGCTCGGACGTGTGCGTTTTTTCCTCGGCGAGGACCATCGAGGAAAATCCTTGATGATTTGGTGAAAAAACCACGCACGAAGCCGGGAAAAAACACAGGGAATGGACGTCCGAGCGATGGCCAGACAAGGTTCTAAGAGCCTTTCGCGGTTCCCACGACATGTTCTCAGAACATTGCTGGCGGAGTCTGCCACGTTTGAGCACATCAGGATTCTGTTCTAAGAACACTGCTCTTGTTCTTAGAGCATTTGTGGGCTCTAAGGACATTTCGTGTTTTCTTCTTGGAACATTTTGGGATTCTGAGGACATTTCGTCGCAGGACTCTAAGAATGCCGGTACGGTCGGTCCCTGCTCAAGAGAAACGGCGGCTCTGGGCAGAACGCCGGGGGCAGCGACAGGCCCGCCCGGGAGTTGCGACGTGGCATACTTCAGGAGGCAACTACTGGGAGGTTTCCGTCGGAAGGACTAAGGATGAAGCCCCATTGGGGGGCTGTTAAGCCAGAGTGGGCCTCGGATAAGGCGGGATTAAGCGGGATTGAGCGGGATCAAGCGGGATTAAGCGGGGTTAAGCCGGAGTAAGCGGGATTCCGGATCAGGGCTGAATCAGAATTTGACCTCCCAGGTGTTGCATCCGAAGGCATACTCGCTTGCGGATTCCCGCCGATTCGACTCCTCCCGACTTGGCTTCCGATGTCCGCCGATCCGGTTCGTTGCGACCGCCGATCCGACTCATCGGATCCGAGTCTGGGCTCTCCTGGAGTTGCGACGTGGCCGGCCTGGGCGAGAGCCGTACATCCATCGGTCGTGGAAAGCAGGTGCTCTCTTGGACCCCCAGGCTCTCATCGACTGTAGGCGCCTTCGAAGGTCAAGGGTCGGGTGGCGTTCCCTCTTCCCTCGTCTGGAGGGGGCGTGCGGAGATCGCATCTACTTCCAACTCGCCGGCGCGCTGGGGGAAGTGAGAAGGGGCGGGTCTTCTCAGAAGGCTCGGAAGTCCCCCGGCTTTCCGAGAAGTCTACTGGGCCTTCCCCGAAGACGCAGGAAAGCTTTCAGAATGCCGGAGGGGCTTCTGAGATGGCCCGCCGCCTTCTGAGAGGGCCTCCCCCCGTGCTCGCCGCCAAATCAGCGCCTTCGCACTCCATGCTTCTGCTCGCTCGCGCTTCCCCCTCCCCCCTCGCGCGGCCGCCCCCGTCTTCGCTCCTTCCTCCTGCACGCCGGACCATTCGCCGATCGGTGGCCCCGAGTCGCCACACGCTGGTGCGGATTGCCTCCGCCTCGCCGCCGACGAAAAAATTGTTTCTGCTTGCTTCTCCCGACGAGTGGGCCTACAGCGCAGGTCAAGGCAGCGCCTCGCCCGCGAGGGCCGATGGGGAGTCCCGGCGCACCTTTCCCGCCGGAGGGCCGCGCAAGTCAGCGAGACGGGGTTTGCTCTCCGCGGGCGGAAGCAAAAGAGAAGGGTGGAGGCGGAGGAGGGGGGGAGGACGAGGAGGGGGAGGAGGAGGGGGAGGAGGAGGAGGGGGAGGAGGAGGAGGAGGAGGAGAAGGAGGAGGAGGAGCAGGAGGAGCAGGAGGAGCAGGAGGGGGGGGCGGGGAGAGGGAGGGGGAGGGGGAGGGGAGGGAGGGAAGTCGCCTCCCAGGAGATGGCCCTGAGATCCTGGCGCTTCCATTGCTCATGGCAGCGTCGCCAGTGGGGCAACGTGTCCAGAGGGAAACGGGCCCTCAGGTTTTTCACCGCTTTCGGGCTCTCGGGGCGAGGTCCGGCGCAGCGAAGAATTGCGACATCGCAGGACAGCGCGCTGCCACAGAACTCAGGAGGGAAGGTTGTTCACTCTTGTCGGCCTCCAGGGGCCCCCACCAGGCCTCGCGACCGTCAGAGAGCGGCTCGGGATGACCTCACCACGGAAGATTGTTCGCTCTTGTCGGCCTCCAGGGGCCCCCACGGGGCCTCGCGACCGTCAGAGAGCGGCTCGGGATGACCTCACCACGGAAGATTGTTCGCTCTTGTCGGCCTCCAGGGGCCCCCACGGGGCCTCGCGACCGTCAGAGGACGGCTCGGGATGAAGAGCCGCTCCAAGAGAATTCGCTCTGTTCGGCCTCCAGGGGCCCCCACTGGGCCTCGCGACCGTCAGGGGAGCGGCTCGGGATGAGGAGCCGCTTCAGGGGGAAGGGGTCCAGACCTCTGGGGGGGGGCGCGACGCTGCGAAGAGAGCACGACGTCGGGGCTCTGATGAGTGGGCGACCGTGATCCGTGCGCCCGGGGCTGCGCCCGCCTCCGGCTCCGTCCCCCCCCCTCCGGACGCTGCCCCCTGACCTTTGGCTCCTGAGGTCCAACGTGGCCAAGAAATACAACATCGCAAGCAAAGGAGAAAAACATATGTACTATAATGTTATTATATTTCATACATTGAGATTAGTTCATATATAGACATACATTTATATATATACATATATGTATATAAACATATATATATATATATGTGTGTGCGTGTGTGTAGATTCTAGATGCTTCGCGTAACCCACCCAGCCCAACCAGACACGATGCCCAGAGGAATTGCATCGATCAGGGAAGTGGGCAGCACACGGAGGAAGGGTCCCCCCGTGGAGGCCTCTTGGAGCGTCTTGGGGGCCTCTTGGCGGTCCCGGACGCCTCTTAGAGCGTCTTGGGTGTCTCGAAGAGCTCCTTGGGGCCTCTTGGAGGTCTCTTGGGAGCCTCTTGGAGGCCTCTTGGTCGCCTGTTGGGGCCTGTTGGGGCCTCCTGGGGCCTCCTGGGCGCCTCTTGGGGCCCTCTTGAAGCGCTCTTGGGAGCCTTGGGGGCGCTCTTGGAGTCCTCGTGGGCCATCTTGGAGCCATCTTGAAGCTTCGGATGGCCATCGGAAGCAAAATGGCGAGAAAGCCAATAATGTTGATGTTTCTTAGGTTTTGGAAGGATTTGGGCCTATTCGGGGCCTCCTGGGGGAGCTCTTTGGCCACTTGGAGCCGTCTTGGAGCGGTCTGGGGACCTCTTGGAGCATCGTGGGAGCCACCTTGAGGCATCTTGTAAATCTCTAGGCATCTTGGAGGTCATCTTGGGCTCTCCCAGGCGCTCTTGGAGCCTCCCCCCAAGAGGCCAACATGTGGCCAAAATCTTAGTAACATCAATGAGATTGGCATTGTCGCCGAGGCCTCTTGGAGCGTCCTGGGTGCCTCTGGATGGCCTGTTGGGGCCTCTTGGGGGTCTCTTGGGAGCCTCTTGGGGGCATCCTGGGGGCCTCTCGGGGGCCTCTCTTGGGGCCTCCTGGCCACCTCTTGGGGCCCTCTTGGGGCACCCTTGGGAGCCGTGGGAGCGCTCGTGGGGCCATCTCGGAGAAGATCGATCAAATAGGGGGGGGTCCTTAATTAGCGCCGCCCCCCTAAGAGGCCCAAGTGTGGCCAAAACCTTAGTACAACCAATGATTGTGGCTTCCTGGCCGAGTCCGTTTTGAACGCCCCAGCGACCTGAGAAACGCCCCGTCCAGGTCCAGGGGAGGGGGGTAGGGGGAGGGATCAAGACTCCCTCCCCGCCCGCAAGCCGTCTCGCTCACTCCCACCCGCCCTCCCAAGACATACGTAGCACCCGAGTTTGGCCCGAGCCTCAGCATATTCAGCAGTCGCCGTTGGACGGGCAGCTACTGGGGGCCAATCCGCCGCCGCCGCCGCCGCCTCCGCCGCCGCCGCCGCCGCCGCCGCCGCTGCCGCCGCCGCCCGCCGCGCGCCGCCGCGCCCGCCGCTTTCGCCGCCGCCGCCGCTGCGCCGCCCGCCGCCGCCGCCGTCGCCCCCTCCGCCGCCCCCGCTGCCAAATCGCCGCCGTCGCAGCCGCTGCCGCCGCAGCCGCTGCCGCCGCAGCCGCTGCCGCCAAGGCCACCGCCGCCGCAGCCGCAGCCGCCGCCGCCGCCGCCGCCGCCGCGGGGGGGGGGGTCTATACTCGAGGGAGGGACGACCAGCCAGACCCCGACAGCGGGCCATCACTGGACGGCTCTGGGCGTTTCCTTGACAGTTTTACCCGGTTCGGTCCTGTCCTGGGGTGCGTTTTCTAAAGACGGCTTCGCTGGTCGGGGCGCTGATGAATCATGGGGGTCGACTTGGGGGCTCTATAGATACGCGTTGGAGCCGTCTGGGGGTCCGAGGTACCCTTCCTCATTGCACGCAGGGCCCACCTCGCCCTCCCAGACGCCGTCGCCCCGCTCAGGAGCTGTCGGCTCCCGGCCGCGACCTCGACCTGCTCTGCTCCCAGGCCGTCGCGAACGTCCTCTGGGCCGTGGTCACGATGCAGGAGCCCGCCAGGGCCGCCTACGATCGAGGGAAGAAACACGGGGACCATGACCAAGATGTCGGGGGTCGTGTCGATGCCGATCTTGGTCATGGTCCATGTCGGCCGTCGCCCGCAGACCGAGATCGAAGGTGACCAAGATCGACACGACGTTTCCACGTTCAGTCTTGGTCGTGGTCCCCGTTTTCTACCTTTGAGTCGGGCCTGTCTCTCTACAGGAGGAATATTCAAAAAATATTTCAAAAATAGTCGGGGGACCATGTGTTTCAAATATTTTGTTGGCCATGCTGGAGCATCTGTCCCGTACTTTTGTTGTTCTTTTCGTCGCAAATCCCCCTGTGGGGGGACACGCCCGACTTCATTCGACCTGTCCAGAAAGGTCCGACTCCTCCTCCTCCTCCTCCTCCTCCTCCTCCTCCTCCTCCTCCTCCTCCTCCTCCTCCTCCTGTGATCGGTGCGACTCGCTTCAATCCGCTGGCAGCGGCCAGGGCCTGCACGGAGCCGGGCGCGGCGGTCCGGTCCGGTCTCTCGCAGGTCCTTGGCCAGCTCGGGCGTGCCCACCTCGGCAGCGGCTCCTCCTCCTCCTCCTCCTCCTCCTCCTGCTCCTCCTCCTCCTCCTCCTCCTCCTCCTCCTCCTCCTCCTCCTCCTCCTAGGCGCTGGACAAGAAGAACGGCTACGGTTCAGAGGGGGCCCGATGTGCCTCAGGCTCCTCCAGTGCCGTTCCTCCTGCCCTCCTGGGGCACGGAGGCGCTTGCAGGGCCAAGAAGGGGCTTCGTGCCCTATTTGGCGTTCCTATTTTCGGCGGCCCGACTGTAGGCGCAGGGGGAATGCATCGACCCCTGACTGTCCATGATTCATCGCCAGTAGGGGGCCCGACAGCCCTTCCCGCCCAGGAGCGTGCGGAGTCGCCATCGGGGGCCTATCGCCGATTTATCGACGATGTATTGCCGATTAAGCTCGATATTTCCCCACCTGAGCTGGCCCCCCCCCCGGACGTTCCCCCTCGGGTGAGTGCTCCCTCCACGCTTGTGACCGGGGCGGATGGCGCGACGATGACGACGACGGCGACGTCGTCGCCATTCCGGGGGCTTTTGGATATTCTGGAGATGCTCGACGCCACGGTCGAGCGCGGGTTCCTGGACGTTTCCACCCCTGATCTGCCCCCCCCCCACGGTGGCGGCGTTCGTGAAGGAAATTTGCAACGGAGGCTCCAGACCCGTAATGGGCAACACCCGCTAGAGTGTGTAGGCACCGCCAACACCAGAAAACGCTCGAAAAAGTGAAACCCCCACTTAAAATCCATAGCCTCAAAAAACTATCAAAAAAGTATCGAAAATCGGTCGCGTACGAAACACTGTAAGGAACCCTGGTTGCTGGCGCCAACTTGCAAACTGCTGGAGGCTTCTACGACGCAAGGCATCAGGATTTCAGGACGGCTGATGCGCGCGAAACCATGCGCGAATAGAATGGATGGCACGAGAAGCGTGAGGTGTAGATGGCTCGCGCAGCGTGAGGTACGGGGGACGCGTTTTACGGTGGCCACGCGGCGAACAGAATTCCCAGGGCTGGCGGGAACGGGCACAGGCCAGCAGAGAAGCGGCGAAGCCTGGCATATCCAAGCACGGGCCAGCCAAGAAGCGGCACGGCGGGCACAGGAAGGACCGAAGCGGAGATCGAATCTGACCGATGAAGGATCGAAGGGAGTAAGCTCGGAGAGGGCTCCCAGCTCACCACCTTCTCTTCATGATCCTGGCCTTCCCCCTGTTCATTCCTTAACCCCCCTTCCTCTCCTCCCGCGCCCGCCCCCCCTCTTCCTCCTCGCCGCATGCCTCCCCGTCCCCCGCGTCTACCTAGCGACCGCAGTCGCCCAGTGAAGCCGCCGCCCTCAGTCGCTCGACACAAACTCGGAGTCCGAGCATCCCCCCTCCTCCTGATGCTGCAGGGGCTCGGGCGCAGCCGCTGACGCCGCCGCGGCCCCCTCGAGCGCCGCGGGGTCCACCAAGCGCTTCACGTCGCCGTGCGGGAAGGCCTTGACCAAGAAGTGCCGCGGCTTGGCGGATTTCTTGATCGTCTTCCCGCTCTTCAACTGGGAGACTTGATCGAGCGGTCTCTGCGCATCACGGAGCGAGGATGTCTCAAGCGAAAGCCGCCAGCATGACCAAACACATTGCACCGCGACCCCCACGGGAATGCGATGCGAATGACGTCACAAGCGAAACTGGCACCCCTGAAACGCAGCAGGCCGCGCGAACGATCTCGATGGAGGAGGGGGAGGGCAGCGGGGGAGGAGGAAGGGAGGAAGTGGACAAGGAGATGGGGGGTTAAACAGGAGGGGGGGAGAAAGAGGATGAGGAGGGGGAGGAACGCTCGAGAAAACAGCCCCACCAATCTATCTCAGTTGTTCACTTCCTGTTCGACTGTGTCCCTCCTCCACCTAACACGTCCTGACCCCCCCCCTCCTCTTTCTCATAGTCTTCCTCCTCCTCCTCTTGCTCCCTCCTCCTCCTCCTCCTTCTGATTCGGACCCCAGTCCAAATGGGAAAATATGGTCCGTGATCGTCTTCTCCGCCCCTGCGGGCATCAGCTTCGCCGTCATCTTGACGAGGCCTGGGGGGGCGAACGCCTGCTTGTCCAGCAGCTCCCTGGCACCCACGGTCTCCAGGGCGTGCAGCACCTTCGAGACGTTCGCGTAGCCGACCTCTGCGAGGCGAGCCGTCGGCCTGGGCCCCGAAGCGCCCTAAGCGACCGAAGACTCGCCCCTGTCCGCGGACGAGAGCGCCAATTCGATCGCCAAGGGAACTTCGGAACCCAGGGTGGAGATTCGGTCTCGGGGGCCCCCTCGCAACGGTAGCCGTGCATGTCCAGCCTCGTCTCCTCGCTGATCGCCGTGACCAGCTTGAAGCGGCTCAAGGCGACCTTCGAGGGCGACAGCTTCGCTGGGGCGGCGGCGTCCGAAGGCTGCGGCTCGGCCGCGTCGGCAGGCGCGACGTTGGGCGCACCAGCATCAGCCATGGGCCCCGATTCCACTGAGCGTGAAGGCCAATCTCCCCACTCGGGAAGATCCGAAAACTCGAAGACACGAAGCTCGGACCTTGATCCAATGTCTTCGGAAGCAGGGCGCGACCCGAAGCCCTTGGATGGGACCCAACCTCAGCGTCAAAATGCACCCTTCCCCATGAAAGCCGAATCGAACCAGGACCAGGGAGGGGGCGTACTAGAGGGGGGAGGGGGGGGGGGGGCTGGCAAGGATAGGAGACTGCAGATCTGCACGACCCCCATGCACGCGGTAAGGGGGGGAGGGAGGAGCCGGGGGCGGGGAGGGGCGACAAGGTCCATTGATCCCCCATCTTAGTTCTAAGCCTCATGTGCGTGTCCCTCCTCCTCCTCTTCCTCCCCCCTCTTTCCTGCCCTCCTCTACGTACATCTCCTCATCTCGTATCCCTAATCACTCCTGGTCCTAAGGCATCCACCTCGCATTGGTTTCAGCGCCCAAGTTAGCGCGAGGGTCGGTGAGCCCGAACGCGCGCGAACGCATCCCAGGATGTTGGTGCCACCGAGGCGCAAACCCACAACTGATTTTGAAAATGACCGAACTCTCAGGCCAACTTGAGATTCGAACTCGCCCAACACTTTTCAAACGACGGGAACCCGACTGAAACATTGGAAACGGCATGGGCGCCAAGAGAAAGGAGGAGCATACTGTGATTTCCCTTCGAGCTGGCTGGCGGCACCGCCATGTCCAGCCTAGCGCCCTCTCGAGGGCAACATATGGAAGCACGCAGCCACCACTGCGCGCGAATGAAGGCCAGCACCTGGCCGTCTCCTCAGATGGCCTGCCACTTCAGGGCGGCGCGGTACTTTGCCAAAATCACATCGTCCATGTCGACGGGCAGGACCTTCCACTTGGCGAGCTCCTTCTGCACCGCCACGCACTGCCCACGCAACCAGACCTTGTCCTTGCACCTCGTATCGCAGAACGCCTGCATGAGCTGGATCTCGCAACCCACGATGGCAACTTTCTTCGTCAAGTCTGGCGTCGTGCCGATCAGATCAGCGTCGGGTTTCAGCGCCATGTCCTCGGCGTACTCGGTCACCGCAGTCTGCGCCTACGAGGCGAGCAACAGCAAGACAGGACGAGAAACGTGAGAGAGATGGGAGCAATAACGCCATTATCAGAAGGAAGCGTGATGGAGAACAGAAACATTGAACCTTGAAGCGGGGAAAGGAGAGTAAGGACACGATGATACACACGGAAGGAGCATCGAGCGCCTGCTCGATGTTGCCCAACGCGTTGAAGATGCCATCCACGCTCGCGCCGTCCAGGAGCTCCTGCGCCTTGGCCTTCAGGTCCTCCCAAGTGAGCTTGTCCCTCTCCACCCAGCCCATCAGGTCCGAATTGTCGACGGAGAGGCTCTGCGCCTTCAAGCGAGCGCCCGCCAAGACGAACTCCCGCCTCTTCAAGCAAGCCTGCGTCACGCGCATGCACAAGCCCGTCGAGACGTCCACGATAGACGTTGCCCTGTCCTGGAAGATCGATGCCACCTCTCCAGACGAAATGACCTCGTCGTCGAACTTCATCTTCAACATCTTCGTCACTTTGGCCAGCTCCCTCTTCACGGCCGATGCCTGCTTCTCGGACGTGGAGCCAGAGTCGCCGTCGCAGTCATCGACCACTGTCACATTCAACATAGCGGTCTCGCGCTGCAACTTCATGAGCGCCCTCGAGGTAGACAGGACCACTTCCGCCTTCTTGCTCAAATCCTTGCGCATGAACCCAACCAGCACGCCCTCAACCTCCAAGCTCGAGTCGGTGGGCGAGCGATTCGAGGCTGGCGTGAAGTCCCTCTCGGCGAGCATCTTGACATGAGAAGCGAAATAGCCAGCCATTTCAGCATGATCTGCCTCCGCCAACGCATCCGAATCTATCCCTTGGGCCATGTCAAGCAGCTCCTTGGCGTCTATACTCTCGCCAGCGTTCGCCTTTGTGATGACCTTCTTGACGGCGTGAACCTTGGCGCGCGAGTCGGCGTCCCCGATGATCTTGCCGATGTCCCGCATATCCTGCATCAGGTTCTCAAAAGACGGGCGCGAGTCCGCAGCCTCAGCGAGCAACGCCTTGTATGCGGACATCAGCTCCAACTCCCCCTCAGAAATCGCACCGCCCTTCGGTTGCCCAGCACCACCCCTTGTCCAGTGCTGGACCGCGTGGGCGAGCTTGTTCATCGCAACGCTCTCGAGCTCGTCGGCGGCGCCAGGTGCCAAAGCAGCGCGCAAGAAAGGAAGCTCGCCAACAGCAGATTTGGCCAGGGCCAAGAACGCCTTTGTCGGGGTAGGCGCCTCGTGCTTCTGGAAATCCCGTAGAAACTGCGAGACCTTCGGCGCGTGCGTCTTCATCTGGTCGTTCTTTCTCGCTGCTGTCATCAGGCGCGCCTTTCACCATGCATTGTCGCCAATGGCAATGGCCACGCTGGTCATCAAGTTGCCCCTCTTAGTCGTCTGGTGAGCTGCCTGCTCCATGGCTTTCACGTCATCAAAGAGGGCAATGTCAGTGTTGTGGCTGATGTTCTGGTCGCTGATATACCTCAAGACGCCGACGGCACGCTGCGCGTCCACCAATACCTGGGCTGCTTCATCGGCAATGTGTGCGTCAGTAGGAAGCTCCCACGCCTCGATTACGGCGTGCGCGAACTCCAGGACGAGCGGCTCCTTCTCCTCCCCAGCCCCAATCCACTTCACAAGGTGGTCGCCGAACACCAGGTTCTGGAAGGCCTCGGTCAGCTCGGGGGTAACGAGATCCATATCGATCAAGCGCGGGTTCGCCCACTGGAACTCCGAACCGTCCTTCTGCTGCCAAAGCTGCAACATGCCCAAAGCACGCCTCAGACAGTGTTGACCGTGGACCTCTCGCGGTGCTTTCTCGAACTCGTCCCAACAAGGCTGTGTCTTCCTGCGCAGGATCTCCATGTGGGTGACGAGAAGGAAGTGCAAGCCTGACGACTCGAACACCTGGCAGGACTCCTGGAAGTCCTGATCAGAAAGCTTCTCCATGGAGCCTGGGACAAACTGCATGGCCCTGTCATACAGCTTCATGTGCGCGGCCAGGCGGTTCCGATCATCGCCGACGGGGAGCTTGTTGTGCAAGAGCTTCGCCTGATTGTACTCGCTCCCGAGCCGCTTGCCAGCGGCGACCTGGCGAATGGGCAGCTTCGCAATCCAATAGTCTGCCGTGCCCTTCTTGATGTTCGGGTCGACCTGCCCGTCATCATCTGCAGCTGGCCTCTTCGAAGCGGACGCTGGCCGGGGGCCTGCAGCGGTCTTGGCACACGACGCCCCCTTGGAGACCTTGGCTGGGGTGGGGGAGCGGCGAGGCGCGTGCTTCTCGGGGTCGTCACTCTCGCCTAAGCGAAGGCAGCTCGAAGACCGCCTGGTCGCAAGCTTCTTGCTTGACTCCGCTTGGTGAGCATCCTCGCTGCCTGATCCTGAGTGGAGCCCCATCCTCCTCCTCGCCCTCCGCGAAGCCATCGTCGCTGGCACCACCGCCCGCTGGCAAGTCCGCAGCGGGCGCATCTGGAAGCTCGTCGCCGCTGCCGACGGCCTTCGATACACCCAATCGGCGATCCAGGTCCTGCAAGGAAGGCAGTCGGTTCAACCCCCCCGTCTCGCTATCCGTCATGCCGAGGCGGTGCACACCCTTCAAGACGACAGGGATCTGGTCCGCGAAGGCCGCGGGTCTGTAACCTTTCTGGTCGCTCGAGGCGCTGGCTGACAATCTCAACTGCAACCGCAAGATCTTGTAGGGCTGCTCGGGGTTCTTGAACGGGTAGTAAACGTTATAGGCCCCCTTCTGCTGGTAGCTTGGCAGCTTGACCCCCTTCAGGCGAAGAGTCTTCGGCGTCTTCTTCCAGCGCTGAGTGACCTGCCACGCAGATAGTAGTATGAAGCTCTGGTCCACGACCGCGTGGGTGGAAGCCCCCGTGGTCGCTGAGATGGTGTTGATCTCAATGCCGTCGCTGGCATTCGTCAGACCCTCCTCCAAAGTCGCAGCGAGAGTCTCGCTCTCCTGGCGCTCTTGTAGCAAGAGGTTCACGGTGTACCTTGCGATGCAATCAACCACGCCCCCAAACGGACAACGCCCCATGCACCCCCACACGAAGCATGACGCCACAGGCTGGCGTTGTACCGAGGTGTTCGTTGATACCGACTCGGGTCGGCGGAACAGACCCCCCAGGGTCCACTGGCCTGGGTGACTGGCACACTTGCGACCTAAAAAAATCTATCATCCCGCCTTACCCCCAAACCTTTCATCGTCAAACCCCGCCGTCAAGCCTCAAGCCTCATCCTCAAAAACGCACCCAGACTCTCCTTCCCAAGGAGGCCCGGATACCCCAGAAGGCTCAGGGCCCCCGAGTCCCCCTGAAGGCCCCACCACACTGGAATGCACTTAGTACGAGGGGCATGGGAACGCAGTGCGCCCGAGGGATAGGAAGAGGCATTGCCTGGCAAGTGCGCTTCGGTGAAGGAGGCGCAATCTTCGCAGACGGCGTGCGTGCTCTCGTCCATGCAGGTCAAGTGCTTGGAGGTCTCTGGGTCGCACATGGTCTTGTCCTGCGTGGCAGGCCAAGAGACACGCGTTAGAACACGTGCCCCCCCGACTAGAGAAAGGTAATCGTCACCAAGGGGGGCTTGGATACCCAATGACATGCTAGCAACTAGTAGGGCAATAAGGGGGGCTCGAGAAGGGCTGGGCAATTGTTCGTGGGCGGAGGGGTCCCTGGAATTGCCGTCACAGATCGCGCAGCACAGCAAGGCCGCCTTGCCCTTCTTGGAGGGGGGCGCGCCCTTTGGACAAGCGCGTGAAAGCACCCCCTCCCCTTCTTCGTCAGCGGCTCGCTTATTCGAGATGCGGCCTCCACCGCGCCCAGAGCGGCGACCGCCACTGCTGCCCTTTCTTGCCATTATCTGGATATAAGGACACGCCCAAAATTACTTGGCTAGAGTGGGCTGCGGAAAAACTGTTGTCCCAGAGTGTTTCGCTGAAGATAATCCTCGACACACGTGCCCAAATTTCTCGGATGCGGCGGCCCCTGGGCTCCAGCGCATACATCATCAAAAAAAGTGTTGGGCTGAACCAGAGGCCGGCAGCACCCCGAGCACGCAAGGAAACCATCAAGAGAAGATCCTGGCGAAATCAGGGCACGCAGATGCACCCACTACTGTCGTCCAAGGGCCCATGCGAAAGGTGACCGTCGCAGTAACCCCCTTCCCAGGCGCAGGCAACAGAGCTGGGGCGCGGCCTCGCACCTGCATTTCCTCATCATTGGATGCGAGGAGAACGCCCCCCCCAGTCTACCCCCCCTTGCTTCTGACGGGGTTGACATTGAGTCACTAGGATGTTATACAGTCATGTCGTTATAATGTTGCAAGTGCCCCCCCTGGACCCTGAACGGACGAGGCCGCGACGCTGTTCTCTTCATATAGACCGCCGCTAAGATAGATATGGGCTTGCCTTATACTTATTGTAGGCCACGCTCATGCAGTTATAAATCAACATGGTTCCACATGAAAGCGCTGTGGCTGACGTTTACAAGCGCAATATACACAAGTGGCTATCGAACGCGCGCCTTGGTCTTCGTTTGTAACCATGATAAAAAATGCGCGCGGTGGCCCCATGCCCCCCCCCCCCCCGCGGTGTCCACGCGGAGCGGGGGAAATTATATCGCCACCAAATCGGCAAACGCCGACGCCCATGCTAGCGACAAGACAGCTTTGACTGGCAACGGCGGCTGCCCACGACGTTGGACGCTCGGAGTCACGAACCTTTTGGCGGGCAAAACGACAGATTGGGCGGGCGCGCGAGAAGCCAGGATTAACGCCCCGACACATGTAGATGAATGCCTCTACATGGCCACTGCTTCGATAACGCAAAAAAGCGGCCCAACGCCACGCGCCGTTTACCGCGAGCTGGCTTTGCTTTTCAAGTGGGCTCGGCACTTGAAATTCGTCTACTGATGTGGCTAATTGGAGACTTGTGATCGAAAGAGACAAAGAGGTGGGTGAGTGGGTGAACGAAAGACGTGGAATCGGATGGCGTGCGCATGCGTTGGTGGGCGTGGCGCGCGGGGCGGCAAGCGCGCGCGCGCGTGGGTTGGCGGGGGTGGGCGGGGCGGCGCAGGTGTGGGGCGGGCAAGGTGGGCGGGCGATGGGGGGGCGACGGTGGCGCTGGCTCCCCAGCGCCTGGTCGCTGGAGCCCGCGCGCGCCATTTGACGAGTCGGCTATGGCGCGCGCCTACGCGCGCGCGGTTGGCTGCGAGTGAGTAGCAACTCGCGGCGCGCATGGCAGGGCAAACATGATCGCGGCACCATTGGTCACGCGCGCGCGCGCGGTGCCATGGCGGGGGCGCATGAATGCCGAGGGGGGGGTGGCGGATTGCTCCAGAAACTTAGCGGGCGCGGGGGGCGCGCGCGGCGATGGCGGCGGCGGCGGCGGGGGGCGGCGCATTAGGGCGGCGAGGGGGCGATGCGAGGGCGAAACGGAACATGATGGCGGATGGCCGCGGCGTAGTCGCGACCGCGGCACGGAATGTAGCCGCCGTTCGCGATTAGGAGGCGGGGGGGATTGCCGTTCGCGATGAAACCCCGAGGGAAATCCCACTGGCGCGAACGTATCGCACTATTTTAAACAGACAGTGAACAAAACAACTGGTCGGCCACGCGACAGAGGAGTTGGAGGAGGCCGCGAGGGCACCTAGGAAGCGCTGGCTGCTGCTACCGAACGCATATGGCGGCGAATTCATTTCCTCGGTTGGCGACCCGGCCTAAAATGGGGGCGGCGCGAACGGCGGCGCAAGGTGGACGAGGCGGCGCTGCGCGGGGCGATCAGATTGTTGTTAGTGAGAGGTGGACGCCGCTGGCGCGGCCAGGCTGGGCGGAGGCAAACCAGGGCTGCGGTGGCAGCGCGCGCGTGCTCGTTGCGATGGTTGGAGTTTCTCGGCGGGGTGGACACTGTCGCTTGCGAGGCGCGGATGGGCAGGCAACGCATTGCCGCTGGCGAGGCATCTCTATCGGGGGGCGCGTCTCGGACAACGAGGCAGGAGAGGACGCGCGCGTGCACGCGCAGCGCCCGCGTCCCGCGCGGGGAAGAGCGCGCGGAACGATGCGCGCGGGCGGTTGGCGGTCGAGCCCGCGGGTGGCGAGGCGATGGCATATTGCTGCGAGCGAAGCGCAAGTTGACGGCGAGGAGATTGCCGCTGGCGGCGCCTTCTCAACAAATGGGCGGCGCAACGAACGCGGCGGATGGCCCATCGAGGCTAAGCAGAAACGGCGGATCGGTGCGGCGGAGCGGCGTGCGTGCTCGCGCGCGCGCAGCGTGTGCGCGCGTAGTCGGAGATATGGGGCAGGGCGGCGGGCGCGCGGAACCAGGCTGCTAGGGTGGTGGTGTGTGTGTGTGTGTGTGTGTGTGGTGGTGGTGGTGTGGGGGGGGGGGGGGGGGGGGTAGATTGCCGTTGCGAGGACGATTGGGCGGGGGGTAGATTGCCGCTGCAGGGTCATCTCCAGCAGGGGGTGACGCAGCGGAAGACGCGGCAGGAGCGGGCGCGCGCGCGGGCGCGCGCGCGAGGCGCGCGAGGAAGGATGCGCGCCGCGAGGTGCGCGGGCACGTAGAATGGGCGGGGGGTAGGGGGCCGCGGTGGGGGGGAGGAAGGGGGGGGGGTAGATTGCCGTTTGCGAGGCGCGATTTGGCGGGGTGAGGGGGAGGGGGCGGGGGGGTGATTGCCGCTGCAGAATCATCCCTAGCAAGGTGTGGCGCAGCGGGCGACACGGCATGAGCGGGCGGGCGGGCGCGGGCGCGTGGCGCGCGAGCAAGGCGCGGCGCTGGGGGCGGGCCATGGCCACGGAGCAAGCGGGCTGACGGAAGCGGGTGGGGGGGGGGGTAGACTGTCGCTTACGCCGCACGGCTGAACGAGAGGTAGAACGCTGCAAGCGCAGGCAACACGGGTCGGGGGGGTGCACGGTGGGCGAGATGGCAGCAGTAGAAAAGGTGAAGGTTGCTCCTGGCGAAAGCCACACCTCGAACTCAGGAGCACACGCGCGCACCCGTTACGCCTGGCGCAGAATGGAACAAGGCGTCGGGGCAGCGCTGGCGCTCGCGCTGGAAAAGGCAAAAGTGTCGAAGGTCTACTTGTAACTTTCGCCGAAATCCCGTAAACACTTTGCAAGTGTCTAAAAAGTATGAAAAAAGTGTCGGTGCTAACCTACTGACACTTTGTAAGTGTCTAAAAAGTGTCTAAAAGGTATCTAAAAAGTATCAAAAAAACGAAAGCTACATGTTGACCCTTTTTGGTATGCGAATCGCCTCTCGCGTTGGAAGCTCCATGTTGGCCAGCGTGCGCGTACCTTCTCGGGCGACCACCGCCGCCCCGCCCCTCCCCCTCCCCCCTGGCGCAGCGGGAGGAGCGGGAAGCTCGGCCAACGCCGATGCACCTAAGTTGACAGCGCACGCGGTACCCCTGCATTGCTGCGCGACATATTTTTGCCCCACCCAACGCGAGCTCGAACCGCTGGCGAAACCTTGCTGCCTGGCCACATGAAGTCAAATAAGCAGCCCCCTCCCTCCACATTCCCAAATACAAAATACACCACCGCCACGATGCTACCCCGCCTCCACTCTTGAAGCAGATCAACATTGGCTGCATCAGCACACGCGCACAAGTAAAACTGTACAGCTGGTGAAGATAACGGCGGGGCGCGCGGACAAATGGCTGGGCACCATCGGCTGCCCTTTCTTTGCGGTATTTGACAGGGCTTCCTTGGACCGAGCACCTTGAGCGCGTCGCACGGTGAACTTGCTGCAGCGACAAATGGAACTGAACACATTGAGCACGGCTTCTGGTTGAGCGATACCTCGAGCACCTTGAGCACGATGACCGCCTGCAGCCTTCGTCCACCTTGGGCGCGATGTGAGCCTGCACCTTGAGCAACTTGAGCACGATGCCAGCGTTAATCGCCATGCAAGGCTGGACAACGCCTGTGCACGATGTCAGCCTGGCGCGGCGCTGCCGCCAGCCTGCAGCAACCATCCATATGCATCCCTCCCTGCCCCCCCTCTCCATTTCCTCAAACGGTCCGCGCGTCAACCCCCGATGCACCCCCGACCCGCGCCCGACGTAAACG